AAAAGCGGAAAAGAAAGTTGAAAAAACCGGAAATTATAGACGTAACGAAAACAAAATCAGTAAAAATTTTAAGCACTTGTCAAAACCGACATGTCGAAGCCTCGAAGGTAAGAAGATTCAAGCATTGGGACACAAAGTCTTTTTCGTCGTTAGTAATAAATTAAAAAATTGGATACCAATTTTATTACTCAATTACGTGCAACACATAGTGTTAGCGTCTGAAAGGGAGGAAAAGTTAATTTATTGTATTCTTGGTTCATGAAGAAGAGTAATATTATTCGTACAAGGTTGTGGACTTAAAGTCTTGACATTTGGTTATTCTTCAAAGATTTGGGACAGAAGTAAGATTAATTCTACGCAATGCACACATGTGACCACCTTAATTAATTAGGGTTTCGTGGGAATCTTGAAGTAATTTTCTTGCTGTTCCTTGATCAATAAGCCAAGTTATACACTCTACAGGTATAAAGAACGCAATTAATGGTTCAAATACTAATGTCTACGTCCCAAATAATTAAATCAAGTTACACACTCCGCAGAAGTCAACTAATGGTACAAGTAATATTTTTCTAGAAATTTTTTCTTAAAAAGATAAAAAATAGTATTAAACCCCCCAAAAAAAAAAAAAAAGAAAGCAACTTGACACAAATGGCACTAAATATATTAGCATTAATGATAATGTTCCAACCCAGTATTGTTTTCAAGTTTATTGATATTTGAGAGAAATGTTCCGAAATGTTACGGTAGAGTGAAATGGTGATATGCTTGACCACACCACCTTAATTATTATGTTTCACCTCTTCAAGAAAACTTTTAACAGTAGAATTATTCCGTAAAGAAAATGTTTGAATCCAATTCAATGCATACATTCAAAGTACCCATGCAGACCAAAAAGGTAAAAACTTTATACTAATACTCATTCCATTCTAAAAAATAAGTGTATTAGACAACTTTGACGTAACTTAGAGAAAAATAAATAGAGTAGGTAAATTCAGGGGCGGAGGCACAACTGATTTTTTTTAAAAAAAAATTTTGGTTATCATTCCTTCAAATTTTAGGTTTTTCATTTGAGAAAAATAGATTTTGCCCCACCCTAAATTATAATATTAAGGGACAAATATATTAAATTAGTGATATTAAAAATCTTGCCCATCACTTCGTCGGGCCTAACTCCGTCCCTCGGTAAATTACTCCTCAACTTAATACATTAAAATAAATATTTGCCATTAATGATATTTCTTTTGAGGAGAATTTTAAAAATTTTTGGACAAAAAGTAAATTAGAATCAGAAAACAATACTCCCCCTGTCTCAAAATTATTGTCCAGTTTGATATTTCATTTTTAATATAATTTGAACTAAAAATAAAAAACTAAACTGAACAACAATTTAGGGGGTCGTTCGGCCAAAAAAATTTAAGAGAATTGATGTTGACAAAAAAAAATTTTACTTTAATTTTGGTGGACATAAGTAGTTTTCTCGGATTTGGTAAATCCGAGAGTCCAATTAATCGGACTTTCGGATTTGGCAAATCCGAAACAATAAAAAATACTCCCTCCGTCCCATAATTATTGTCCACTTTTACTAAAATAAAAAATTTTATTTTTGGTCAAACTTAACTATATTTTACCTTAAACAACCGGATATACCCCTACATAAGTAATTGTTTAACCACTAAGATTTTATGGATAATGTTTTTTACTAAGGACAAATGTGTAACTTGATCCATAAAAAGTTAAATTGATCAATAATTTTGGGACAAAATTTTTTGGGCAAAGTGGACAATAATTATGGGACGGAGGGAGTAATAAAAATATAAATTTTTTTTATTATTTTGAAAAAAAGGAACCGAGGTCAAAAAGTGTACAGTAAACTCGGATTTCCGAAATTCGAGAGTTTTTTTAACATAATATTTTTTTAAAAAAAACTGAAGGACGGGAAAATTTAAAATTTTATTTATAGTGGGAAAGTTTGAAAATTTAATAAATGAACAGTAAAAACAAATTTCGAAAATCCGAAATACCTTTTAAAAAAAATTCTTTTAGTGCAAAAAACTTTGAAAATTTGAGTTTTGATAGGAATTCGCATTAGATTGACATATCCACTTTTAAAAAAATAAAAAATAAAAAATATTGTATTAGATATGATATTAATAAAAATCTTTAATTACTAATAATTACTAGAAATTTACATTAAATTGATGAAAAATATATATTACTAATGTTATGTAGTATTATTAAATCTGATAGGAATTCGAATTAAATTAATTCAGCATAATTGATGAAAAATATATATTACCACTGTTACGTAGTGTTACGCAATATCTATACGTACGAGTATTATGTAGTACTTAATACTATTACCCTTTATACATCACTGGTATTAGTGTTACTTATTACTATTAAATTTGTTAGTCATTAGATATTATCATCAATTCAGTATAATTCATATGTACTAGTGTTATGTACTTTTTATAGTATTATTAGTACATTAATAACTATTACCCACTATACATTGGTACTAGTGTAACTTATTATCGTTAAATCTGTTAGTCATTAAATATTATCATTAATTCAGTATAATTCATATGTACTAGTGTTATGAACTTTTTATACATACTAGAATTATGTAGCACATTAATTCTATTACCCACTATACATCACTGGTACTAGTGTTACTTATTACTGTTAAATCTATTAGTCATTAGATATTATCATTAATTCAATATAATTCATCTATACTAGTGTTATGTACTATTTATACATACTTGTATTATATAGTACATTAATACTATTACCCACTATACATCATCGGTACTAGTGTTACTTATTACTGTTAAATATGTTAATCATTAGATATTATTATTAATTCAGTATAATTCATCTGTACTAGTGTTATGTACTTTTTAAGTAAATAATCGAATTTTCGGAATTAGAGTTAAGCAAAACATTGGATTTTCAAAATCAGGCCATAGGGTTTAGGTTTAGTTTCGGATTTCTCAAATCCGAGTTTATCTCAAACTCAGATTACGAGAATCCGAGATTAGTTTAAACTCGGATTTCGAAAATCCGAGATCAGCTTAAACTCGGATTTCTAAAATCTGACTTTTAGGGTTTAGGGTTTAGTTACGGATTTCTTAAATCCGATTTTAGTTTAAACCCGGAATTAAAAATTAAGTTTTTAATATCCGATTTAGTTCAAAACGTTGGATTTTAGGGTTTAGGGTTTAGTTCAATGTGCCTTGTGTGGTATGGGCACTACCCGGGTGAACGCAAATCCGAAAATTGTCATTTTCTAAACAACTCAGATTACAAAAATCCGAGTCTATTCCTATTATTTTTAACACTTAGATTTTTTTTCTAAAATTTAAAATAATTTTTTATTATAAACTTTCGGATTTCCGAAATCCGAATTTTCATGTTTCGGATTAGGCTAATCCGTTTCTAGTCAACTTCTATTTTTGAACACTTAGATTATTTTTCCAAAAAATAAATAATTTTTTATTGCTGACTCTCGGATTTGCCAAAATCCGACACTTGATTAGTTTAAATCAATTCGTTGATTTAATTTAAGTAATTTTAGGTTATTAAAGTCTCGGATTTCACTAATCCGCGTTTCGGTGGTCTCGGATTTGCGAAATCCGACTATGCGGTACTCTTGGATTTGACAAATCCGAGAGAACTAGTATTGTCCACCTAATTTAGATCCATATTATTTTTGTCCAGGGTCTTTTTTTAAATAACTTTTTGGATAACAAACTCCAATTTAGGGACAGTGCAAATATTTATTTTGGAACTTTTCTATTTATTAGTTAGTCGACATATATTTCAAAATAAAAAAAGTGCGATTTATTTCGTTCCAAAATAATGATTAACGAACCACATATAGAGACAAACATTCATGGAAGGAAATCCACATCTGGAATCACAATTTGAGTATAGTTTAGATTAGATAACCATGTGAAGAGTATCAACCCAAAAAAAAATAAAATTGAGATCAATAATTGAACACAACTGTATGTTTTGATGATTGACCAAAATTGAATGTCTGTAGTAGAGCAGCCCCCTGAAGCTGTTCATTTGCTTAACTAAATTAATTAATGAAATTGAATGACAAAATTGACAGAGGTGTACACCCACACTTCTAAATTAAATGCCCTGAAATTGAATATCACAGTCGGCACATGAAGGCAGCTCTCCAAGTTCATTATTTGGCTCACTTGGTTTTTGTGAATTTCGGCCCCATCCAGAAAAGACTTGTTTTGTTGCATTTCACATTATACAAAATTAATGACGATCACATGTTTTTTTTTTCTTTTAAATGAAACAATACAAATACACGTCAAAATGCACTAAATAACTATTATTATGATTTATTAACTATTATTGTTGTTGTTGTAGAATTGTGGGGTATTATAACATTTTCCTTGTTTTTGCAAGATATTTACATATTCTAATGGGAAAATATAAGCATCAATGGGTGTTAAATGATATCTCAAGTGGGTCGTCTACAATCTTAGAACTCTCTAATTCTTTTATCAAATCGTAGTAGTTTTAGCTTGGATTAGTTGTTCCGAGTTCCGACATTATACTTGCTTTTCGAAATAATTGTTCATTTTAAAATTTTATTTTTTGTAAAAATAATATTAAATGAAAATTCAAATTGAATTATTTTGATACTTTTGCTCAATATGGCTACTCATCAGATGCAAACGAAAGGTCCGATACTGCATGATTGAAATGTTGCTCTAATCTGTGTAGTAAGTCATTCGGTACTTTTTGTAGTTGTAGACTTTTAGTCAAATGATTTGATGTTACCAAAAGAAAATATTGCAATGTAAAATATACTCCGACTTTCTCAAAAAATATATATTATAAATTGTAAATTATATCGTTTTTAATAAATTTTATAATTTAAGATGTGAATTAATTTTTTAATAAATAATACCAGTCGATAAATTTCTAAAATTTTGTATGAGTCTCATTTGTTGAGAAAATAAAAATGCTATGCAAAAAATGATATCGATATGATATCTTCAAAATTTTATTAATTCAACATGTGAACATACACTATGTAGAGAAGATACAAAAAAAATTTGTAAATATTTGATTTCCTTTTCCTAACAATTTATGTCCTTTTTTGTTTTTCTATATTAAGCTACAAACAATTGCTATAAACCGAGTTTTGTACCGGCGAAGAACAGAGTATGTGTTTCAAAACAGTAGAATTTACATCAAAATTACTATTACCGCGTCTTACAACAGTAAAACTCGACGGCACAGACTGGGAGGAGGAAGAAGAAGGAGAAGAACCCGGTTGTTTCCATTTCGAATTCGACCCGGCGAGTGAACTCAGTTCCGGGATTGATTCCGACGACGTGATCAACTTCACGTTCTTCAGTAAGAACTCATTTCCGACGAGTTGATTGAAGACCCCGAACTCTGTAACCGAGTTCTTCTTCTTCTTCTGCGCCGTTGTTGTTGATCGGACAATCTCGTTCAGCATTGCCTGAGATATTCTTCGAATTCCTCTGGCTCCGCCTTTTAGTATCGCCGGGCTCACCGATTTCGGGTGCGCAGACGGCGACTGAGCTCGATCGGAATTGACCCTTTTACCGTGGCGGCTTGTCGGTGATTGAGTCACCATCGATAAGTGGACGGACTCGGGACTCGAGCTCCGAACTCCGGCAAGTGGGTCACCGACAAACACCAATTCCTTCACGTCGGCGAGCACTATGTGCTTGAAATTGCGCCTGAGTCGGCCGAGCAACATCGGGTAACAAGCCCATCTTCTTAAACTCATCGGAACATGGTCCAGGAATCCGGCCAACGAGTTCTCCGGGTCAAGCTCGTCCACATCAAACCCGACCACCGACCCATAACTCAACCGGGTCGACTCTGTATTATTACTCTGGTTTCCTCCACCGGAAAAATTAAAGCTCCGGACTTTCCCACCCCAGATTGGCTCTCCATTCCCTTTATCATTCTTACTCCGTTTCATGAACAGGGGAACCTCTGAATTCCGGGTCGAATTGGTAGAATTCCGGGTTGAGCTCAATTTCTCATATTCAGCAACCATCTTCAAGAACGAGTCGTTCTCTTCCAGAATTACATTATCAAAAGGAGCCGATTTGGAACCAAATATGAACAAAAGGTCCGCTCTTGAATTCAGAGCAGACCCAAAAAACAACCGGAGAAACAATTTCAATTCATGCAAATTTAACGACTCCACAACATGGGCTACAACCAGTTCATTCATCGATTTGGTACCCCTTCTGTACAAGCTTCCCATCCCCTGCAACGCATGCTTAGGAGTCGGAAATTTCTTCAATTTCTCGAATTTACCATTTCCCATCAGCTGTCTTCTTCTGGGAATTAATTGGGAAGGGTATCTGGAAGTAGTAATAGCAGAGGAAGGTTCAAAAGTGGAGAGGGTGAACAAAAGCAGAGTAACAAAGATGAGAAGGGCACAAATCGAAATGGTGGATTGAGCTCTGGAAAGAAGAAAATGGCTTGAATTGGTTCGCTTAAATTGACCAAATTGTTGGAATCTTTTCTTGTAATTACTACTACTGTTTCCTTCTTGTTGATCTTCTGGGAGGAAGACGAAGAGGAATCCCATACCCCGATTTTGATGCTGCTTTTGCTGATGATGATGATTCTGTTCTTCCTCTTCTTCTTCACAAGCTTTTCCGGTGAATCCCATTTCTATAAATTTCTCTCCCCGAAGGTTTTTGATTTTCTACTGAGAGGGTTTGGTTTGAGGGGTTTTCCTCTTTCTAGATATCACTATCTGTGCTGTAGCTTTATGCGTGTCTCTATTGAAAGCAAAAGCTTTGGTGGAGTTTTTGTGATGCTCTTTCTCCTGTAAATAGTTTCAAAAATCTTTGGTAATTAATGCGTAATTTATTATTACCGCCTCTCTCTCTCTAATTGTGTGAGTATATTTATTATGATTCTTCATTTCGAGAAAAGATTCAATAATTTAATGTCTAAAGACTTGTTTATTTGAGTAAACCTTCTATCAAATTACTGTATTATGTAGGATTGTACAGACAGAGACATAAAGAAAGTCAATATTATAAGTTTATTGTGAAAGCTAACACAAAAAAGAGAGATACAACAGCTGTATATTATATTTTCTCTGTGTATTTGGGCGTTTATTACCACCTGGTAATACATATCCTCGTATAAAATGAATATTTCTCAAATTGTCCTCCAAAAATAAATTTTTAGGTCTCTTTTTTAAGGATATGACGCATACTTATTGTCCAAATGTAGTCGTAGATAAAATATGTAAACATTATCTTCATTTTAGTTCTTTAAACCTTACTTCACTATTAGAATTTAGTAACACCAAAAAAGTGAAGTAGGTTCATCAAAAGGTCCCATAAACGAAAAGCGAAAGGATTAGTGAGCCACATGATGAGCATCTTAGGATGAGGAAACTTAATTGACTTTTTATCTATTCTATTACAAAAAAGGTGAAGAAATTTCGAAGAGGTTTTTAGTTTAAATATTGATGACTTATCTGGCAAGCAACTACCAGTCCCAAAAGAAAGACCTCATTGGGGGTAAGACATGTGACTTAATAATGAAGAGAAGCAATGGAATCGTAGATGGGATGAGCAGATATGTAAGTAAGAGAATGAATCTCTACCCAAGATGTTTGAGGGATGAGGAGAGGAGATCCGTAATTATAATGCTTAACTTTTTAGAACTAACTCACTTTAGATCTGAATATGTTCATCGTATTAAATGATATATTATCTTGGGAAAATAATATGTGCACTGAAAATTTATAATGAGAAATGAGAAAAATAGTAACTATTGCTTCACTGTTGAAATTTATCGTTCCTTCAAAACTTATACTTTCACCATTAAATATAATGTACGCATCAATTATTATGTATTTTCACTATATACCATTGTTGATTGTCTTATTAATAGTATTTTTAATTGAGACAAAATGCAAGAAAGCGTATCTCACAAATTATAAATTAGAAGACCAAAAAAGTGTGCGGAAGAAACCACTCTCAACTGATGATAGACATCTGAGTATTCACGGTTTCTATGGATCAAAGAAGGAGAAGAAGATTATTTAGTACTCCCTCCAGTGCTTAATATAAGGCATTTTGATTTGTTTTAAGTTTCACGTTATACACATTTTAATTGACAAAAAAAACCTTAAAAACATATGTTCATATTCATTGTGTTCTTTTGATTGTTATGAAATATTTTTAATGTTATTTTATCAATTGAAAATGTGTATAATGTGAAATTTAAGATAAATTAAAATGCCTTATAGTAAGGACCGGAGAAAGTAGTTCTTTATTATTATTATTATTACTATTATTTACTTCTTTTGATGGTGAAGAAGTAGTAGTGGGCACTTTTTGAGGACTCAAAAGAAAAGATAAAAAGATTATTCTTCCCTCCTAGTACTACTACAAAACTATTACTTTTCTTAGCTCATCCAATATGATTCATGTGTGGGTGTTTTGTACATTAGCTGTTTTTTATGTGTTGTTTTGGCTTATGAAATAATAAATGATTCATAAATCAGAATGCAAGTACTGGTCAAGTGTTCCCCTGCCATGGTTTGCAGTTTAGAAGCAGTGGGGGGGCCGATGTACAAATGTAGTTTGCAGTTCATGTCCAAGTTGGGTCATTCACCGTCGGTGGTAGGATTTAGGATGATTTCAAGCGTAATAATAATCAGTTTTTGAGGTTTCGGAAACGTGTTTAATCTCACTAGACAACTAAAATCTAACTTTTCGTGGTGGTAAATGCAATACAACCGAGTTTTATATCTCTCGAATTTGTTTATAGTAGTAGTCTAGTAATATGTCGCAAAATAATGATTAATAAAAAAGAAGTTACAGGTTCGAGTCACGTCGGGACTAAATAGAGAAAAATTATTAATATTTTTTAAAAGAAAAGAAAAAAAATCCAAGAAGAGGTATATATGTACATTTAAGGACATTTTTGAAGTGCATGCACCCATTAAAATGAGAGGGAGAGTTTGAGTTTGTGAATATATCTAATAAGAAATCAAAATATATAGATTGAGAAATCTGATCATGAGAGCATATGTTTGATCAAGTGAAGAGGCGAGTTTGCTTGTTCGTACTTCTTCAAGTTGCAATTTCTTTCATATTACTTTAGGCTAATGAATTTCCATCTTTTTTTTTTCCAAGTTTAATTTGTTTTGCTGATAAATATGGGGAAAAAAAAGCAAAATGGCAGCCATTTTGTGTAAAGGAATGGTGCAAATTAAACATGTATAAGCACCGACACTTCCTCGGCTTAGTTTCAACAACCAGTGGTTCTTTTTTCCCAGTAGTTTTAGAAATGGAGACCAAAATTAAGTGACGCATCCAAAGTGTAATTCACTACACTACGTAAATATTTCGAGAAACATCCTCTATTGACTATCATTGATAGAATGATTCCGTACGTCATTCGAAAGTTATAAAAAATTTTATAGTAATAAAATTTTGTATTCGAACGATTTAAATCATGAACTAACTAAATCATTATTTAATCACGACATTATAAAATTTCTCGTGTTTTAATAATTATATGTGCTGCATGCAAAGATATTCAATAAAAGAAAACTCGGTAACGATCGATCTAGGGCATTCATATTGAATTTCCGCAACTTGAACTCTCATTTCTCGTTCTGCATTCCTTGTGCATTTCTATCTATTAAGAAATAACGATTAATTAGAAATTAAATGAAAACATACATACTCGGGACCGATTGCAACATGTAGGTACATTTCATTATAGCTGGCATGCATACAAGATATTCATGAACTCATAATCTATTGGTGAACTACTGTGTTTTTGCCAAATTCTTTTCATCTCATTTAATAGTACTACATAAAATATACGAGTCCATATCTAGTGCATCCGGATATACCGTATACCTCCACCAAACACACGCGTTACACGCGCTTAACATTTTTTACATTTATATTAAATGCTGTACTTGCATTTTTTTTACTGGATAATCACTATAAAACATTCGGATAATCAGATGTAACAAGTTGGATAACTAGTACAAAGATCCTGGATAACCATTACAAACGGTTGGATATTGCTGCACATTGGCTGGATAACCAGTACAAAAGTCCTGGATAATCAATCCAGAGCATTGGATAATCAGTTTACATCTTCTGGATAACCAGTTTACAACTTGTGGATAACCAGTACGACATGTCAATTTGGGGGCTTCGCCCCCCATGATAAACTAAACGACTCCCGTGGCTACCGGAATCGCAGGTCACCAACCTGCCCCGGCTGCACTGCCCCGCCGAACACGCCAATGTAGCTAAGATAATTCTTTTTTCGTGTGTGTGTAAGGAGAGTGTGTTATTGCGTTAAGAAGGGACACAAATTACGTGTATAAATCCCCCTCGTGATAAACTAAACGACCCGGCTGCGCCGCCTTTTGCGGCTGTGCCGCCCCCATGCCGAACATGACAAATTTCATAAATAGTATTTAATTGAATAAGGGGAAGTTTGCCAAATGATGGAGAACAAAAAATGAATGAGGGACAGCTGGATAACCAGTGTAAAAATATGGACAAGGATATCCAAGAAAAATATAAAAGGAAAAAAATGAAATTTGGCAACTAGTTATCCAGCTGTGTGTAACTGGTTATCCATAATGTGCACACTGGTTATCCACTATGTCCATACTGGTTATCCAACAGGTTAATAATGGTTATCCAGCTGTGTGTAACTGGTTATCTATAGTGCCAACACTGATTATCCACATGGTGAACACTGGTTATCCACACGCCTTTAAAAAAAAAAAAAAAGAAGGATGAATTATCTAGCGAACTCTCACTATTCTAAGAGAGTAAATTACATGCACAGGGGGGTACACGGTGCCCCCAGGTGTACCAGATAATTTGCCAAATATACAGTGCATGTTTTAGTTTTTTAAAAAATTATTTAAATAGCATTTGAAAGAATAAAAAAAAATTTTATGCAATAAATAAATGTAATAATGAGTTGTGAGTATGTGCTTTTCATGAAATTTGCAATTTGTAAGGTTGGTTTCGTAATGATACATGTGCGTAATTTTATGCATATCTAATATTTCAATTTAATAAATTGAATAACTAGTATTTTTTTAAAATAGAAAGAGTAGACAAAAAAACAAATAGACATCCGTCTTTTTTCCATTTATAAATTTGGGGAGAAAATATTGTTCAAATAGCTATTTCTGTGACTTTAATTTGGTTCCCTTTTCTTTTAGTGGGTGGGGTTTATATATTCTATTCCATTCAGCAAACCATTCAAATATATGAATGTTTCTCCCTCTTTTCATCTAAAAGTATAGGGTGGCAGAACTGAAAATGCATGCAAATTTTGAACGGCGCATTTAACAAAATGGCAAACTTGCATGCTTCAAGTACTGCTGCATGGACATTGCATTAAAGTTGAATTTCTTGATCCGCGTAACTGATCTTTTTTAGGGTTTGAAGAATGCAAGTTTAATCAAAATGAGACATAATGGAGTGCATAGCTTTCATTTGTCCTAACTTGTTAGGTTTTGCACCAATTAGCTAGCCTCTTTATTGGAGTTTGACACTAAAAAAAAAAAAGGGACTGGAGTTAACTTTTGGTTTTCGATCAAATATGCAACTTTTTTTTTCAACCAACATTTGAAGAAATAAACCACTTTATTGAACACATAAAGCATTGACTAACGTGATCATATTGTTTTGGAGAAACAATAGAAAACAAGGAACATATTAATATAGTACTCCCTCCGTCTCATAATTATTGTCCAGTTTTACTAAAATGAAAGATTTTATTCTTGGTCAAATTTAACTATATTTTACCTTAAACAACTGGATATACCCCTACATAAGTAATTGTTTAACCACTAAGATTTTAT